AATGGGAAACACTAGCTTTACGAATTGAAAATTCCAGTCACCCTCTACATGACTGATATATATGTCAGTCTGATTACTAGCAGTCAAACTGAGTTTTCACTTTCCTCTGATTGTGCTTCTCTTTTTATTTGAATTCTTGAGGATTGATGTGCAGGGAAAAAGAGATTGGGAGTGGAGGAATTTTGGTGAAAAGAGGAGACAAATGATTTGGGTCTTAAAGGAAAGGGTCAAAAAATGAAAAAAATAGACTAGGAGAATAATAATAGCTGACACTTGGATATAATATTTATTATGTGTCAGAGATTATTCTCAGCATTTGCTTATATATTAACTCACTTAAACTTCATAAAACCCTAATTTGAGTAGCTACTTATTATGACATCCATTTTATAGATAGTGAAACTAAAAGCCAGGTTAAGTCATTTGCTCAAGGTCACACAGCTAGTTAGTGGTAGAGCCTGATTTGAATTCAAACAGGCTCACTCTAGAGTCCATACTCTTAACCTCTTTTGACCATTTGACCAATTTTGACCATAAGTCAGAAGTAAATAGCTGAAAAACAAAAAATAAATTAGCTGAAATGAGAAAACCAAGAAAATAATGCTAGTGCTGGATTTCTTGGCAGGTAGACTATGCACATGCTTAGGTCCCCAGCAAAGTAGGGACATTTGGTATTTTTAAAAAGCATTGACATAGTCATTGTGAGGAAAATCAGAACGTAGTTAGATATCCTCAAACTTACTTTATAGTGTAGTATTGTTTTTAGCTTGAACAATGCAAGACATTATAAACTTTTCTGCATTTAGAGTTTCTACAAGTTTAAATCCAGCCCTGTAGAGGGCTTCATAATTTTATACTTAGAGTGAAGGGTAAAATATGATTATCAGAAAAATATTTCTTACTTCTCCCTCTTTCCAAAGATAAATAAACATTTAAAATCATTAAGTAGTTTTCAAGATTTATCAGAGGGCAAAATTATTAAGAATCCTCTCCTTACATTCCAATGTTTAAAATTACATTTAAATCATTAAGTTGCTTTTAGGAATATTGAATAACAACCGAAAAACAACAACTTGGTAATTTTTTTTTTTTTTTAAAGATTTTATTTTTTCCTTTTTCTCCCCAAAGCCCCCCGGTACATAGTTGTATATTCTTTGTTGTGGGTCCTTCTAGTTGTGGCATGTGGGACGCTGCCTCAGCGTGGTCTGATGAGCAGTGCCATGTCCACGCCCAGGATTCGAACCAATGAAACACTGGGCTGCCTGCAGCGGAGTGCGCAAACTTAACCGCTCGGCCACGGGGCCAGCCCCAGCACCTTGGTAATTTTTACATCCTTGTTAAAAGATTTTGTTTTTATTTAGGAAGATTTGGTTGATTGCTCAAATTTAAAAGAAATATACCGTGAGGCTGGCCTGGTGGTGTAGTGGTTAAGTCTGCATGCTCTGCTTTGGTGGCCCAGGGTTCATGGGTTCAGATCCTGGGCTCAGACCTACACACCACTTGTCAAGCCACGTTCTGGTGGTGTCCCACCTACAAAAGAGAGGAAGATTGGCACAGATGTTAGCTCAGGGACGATTTTCCTCAAGCAAAAAGGGGAAGACTGGCAACATATGTTAGCTCTGGGCCAATCTTCCTCACCAAAACAAAACAAACAAACAAAAAAGAAATATACTATATAAAAATATGCTAAAATGAACTGGCTTAAAATTTGCAAAAGTAGATCATGAGTTTAGCATTCCAGTAATCATTGGCGTTATTTTTACCATTCTCTGATGTACAATTAGATTATTCCAATTCCTCAGCCTGACTCATGGTCTTGCAACTTTTAAGTTATGCCTCTTTTACCTTATACAAATTTCTGGATGTACTCACTTTCCACCAATGTATCATTTTGACCTCTGTTAATTCACGGTTATTTCATGTTAAGCCACTTGAAGCCAGTAAGAAGACAATGAGAAGGATAGGAGCGTGTGAGAAGGAGAGAAGAAATAAATGGGATCAGAGAGAGCAAATAGGAGAGGCAAAACCAAATTGATTAAGATTAGAGAATAGAAAAAAAATATAGGAGTTGTAAAAATTTACAGATGTTTTAAAAATAAGATGGATAATGATGACTTGGGAAAATCCTAGCAAAATCTGATGTTAAACAAAATTGTGTTGGCATGATCCAGCCTTAAAATGGTCAGCCTTTGGATTCTCTTTTATATTTGTTAAACTTTTTAATATGAAGCATTCCAATAAAGATGGAACTTACTTATAGGTAGTCTCTCCTAATTGTATTTTCTAAAATTTTCCCTTGCAAAATCTTCAGCTGCTGCAAAAAATTAAGCCAACCTATAAAATATGTAGTTTTATAAATATCTGGATAATAAGGTATTTGCTATGATTTAAATGTAATGTTATTGCCAAACCTTGTTTCAGGAATACCACGTTTGTACTACATTAGTTTAGATTCAGCTTAAAATAAGCCATTTAGAAAAGTCACTGCCTTGACTTCCAGACATGGCTGGTTTGAATACCAACAGGTAGAAAATAAATATGTTAGGGCCGGCCCCGTGGCCGAGTGGTTAAGTTCGCACACTCTTGCTTCAGCAGCCCAGGGTTTTGCCAGTTCGGATCCTGGGCGTGGACATGGCACCACTCATCAAGCCATGCTGAGGTGGCATCCCACGTGCCACAGCTAGAAGGACTCACAACTAAAAATATACAACTATGTACTGGGGGGCTTTGGGGAGACAAAGGAAAAGTAAAATCTTTAACGAAAATAAATATATTAAATAGTCTGAAAATGAATAGATTGAAAACAAATAGCTCAGATGAACAGCTCACAATCAAATTGGCTGAAATGGGGAATTGACACTTCCAGTCACTGGACTGATGGAATTTCTGAACTAAAAATTTAAGTTTAGAAAGTACTAAGCAAATATTTATCAAGGAAGCAAAATTACAGGAAAGGCAATGTATGTCATGATATGAGCCAGAACACAGATTCAAATCCTACTCTAAGATACAGAAACTATATGAGTTTGGTCAAGTTACTTAACTCCTTTAAGCCTAATTTTCTAATTTGGGAAACAGGACTAATAATGTCCACCTTGTGGGATTGGTGGTGGTGTTTGGCATGTGAGGATCAGAGGTCATGTTTGTAAAGTGCCTGGTTTGGTGTGTTTGGCATATAGTAGATAGTCTTTATTGCTGTATGCAAACTGAAAAAAAGAAAGTTTAAAATATCACTTACAGCTAAACCACAGGTAAGCCAATCATATATCAGTCTTTCTTCCATGAGTCTAACCTGTTCTGACCACCATTAGACTAATCTAGTTCCAAATTATTGCTTGTATTTAAAATTAAATTACATTACTTAACATATCATTCAAACAGACTTTCTGCTCATTGTCTGAAGGAACTGAGTTTTTGTCACTCAAGAGAGAACTAAGAGTGGCATGTTTTGCATATATTAGCTGTGTAGGTTTTTAGCTTAGAGATAATGTCATAATCACCCAGTTAGAGATGCCATGAAAGATACCTAGACCATATAGAAAGAACATTCTTTTGTAATTCATGTATAAGGAATGGCAAACTGATTTAGATCTTTTAGGAGAGCAGCAGGAACTCAGAGTTAGTATAGATTTAGGTCTGGGCTGATAAAAATGAAGGTAAAATTACAGTAGCATTTGCTGAGTAAATGTGGTAAGATATCTCAGGTCTATTAAATAAAATTAAACAAATACTTAAAAAATTTAAAACTAAAAAGTTAAATTAGGTCAAGAATATGGAAATCACTTTATTATTATTTTTTTGCTGAGGAAGATTCACCATGAGCTAATATCCATTGTCAATCTTCCTCTTTTTTCTTGACAAAGGTTCTTTCTGAGCTCACATCTGTGCCAATCTTCCTCTATTTTGTATGTGGGTCACCACCACAGCATGGCCACTGACAAACAGTGTAGGTCCTGTCCTAGGAAATGAACCCAGGCCGCCAAAGCAGAGTTTGCCAAACCTAACCAGTAGGCCGTGGGGACGGCCCCAAAGAAATCACTTTAAATTGCTGCTTTTACATGACTAGTTTGCTATTCTGAGTAAAAGTTGTGGCAAAAAAATTATATTTTCGTTTGGTAAGATGAATAAAAAGATGAAATTATCATGCTAAAAATATACTATTAAAAGTCCACAGGGGGCTGGCCCGATGGCGCCGTGGTTAAGTTCGTACATTCTGCTTCTTGGTGGCTCAGGGTTCAGCGGTTCAGATCCTGGGTATGGACATGGCACTCTTTGGCCCACCATGCTGTGGTAGGCGTCCCACGTATAAACTAGAGGAAGATGGGCACAATGTTAGCTCAGGGCCAGGCTTCCTCAGCACAAAAAAGAGGAGGACTGGCAGTAGTTAGCTCAGGGCTAATCTTCCTCAAAATAAATAAATAAATAAAAGTCCACATAGAGAAAGAAAGTCATGACAATACCTCAGGCTCTTCCTTTTCAACCTGAGCCCAGCAGAATTGTTCCTGTAAAGAATGGTGGCAGGACGAAAAGCTGTTCAGCCAGCCATAATGTAGAGACTAGAGAATATTCCATCAACATTCAAAAGTGTATTCATGGAGTGGGCTTCAGGAAGCGTGCCCCTCAGGTACTCAGAGAGATCCAGAAATCTGCCATGCAGGAGATGGGAGCTCCAAATATGCACATTGATACCAGGCTCAAAAAAACTATCTGGGCCAAAGGAATAAGGAATGTTTCATACTGCGTCTGTGTGGTGGTGTCCAGGAAACGTAATGAGGATTCACCTAATGTACCAGATATGTAACCACTTTCAAAACTACAGAATGTGGATGAGAACTGACCACTGATTGTCAGGTTATAAAACTGCCAAAAAACAAAAAAGAAAGAAAGAAAGAAAGAAAAAAGTCACGTGAGAAGCAAGCCACAATAATACAGAGAAAATGCTTTTTCCCCATCAAATGATCAAATGTTGGGAAAATTGTCTAATTGAATATTCTAATTGCCTAATAAGTATCTAATACATCTGAGAAGTCAGAGAAATTGGACTTTTATTCTAATGGATGACATTATAAATGGGCACAGTCCTCTGGAGAGCAATTTCTGTTGAAAACCTTATCCTTTGACCTAATGATTCTGTTTTCGGAATTTATCTGTAACAGAAATGATAAACAAAAATATTTAGTTATAAGGACATTCACCAAAGCACTATTTGCTATTACAATATCATATAATAAATAATGGAGACAACCTAAATGTCTAAGAAGATTGTTTTAAGTTACGATACATCCAGGTAATATTTTTCTCACATGGAAAGATGTTCACAGTATAATGAGGTATAAAAATTAACTATGAAATAGAATTACATTATAAAAAGTTTTAAATGTGTGTGTTTATATTTGTGTAAATGCACATGTATAAAGAGTTTGGAATGTATATTTAAGTGGTGATTACTGAAGGATGAATATATATATATTTAATTTTTTTGATTGTCTATATTTTCTAATGTTTCTACACTGAAGATACATTTCCTTGGTACTTTATAAAAATAGAATTTTTTTTTATTGAGTTAATGATAGGTTACAATCTTGTGAAATTTCAGTTGTACATTATTGTTTGTCAGTCGTGTTGCAGGTGTACCACTTCACCCTTTGTGCCTACCCTCCACCCCACCTTTCCCCTGGTAGCCACTAATCTGTTCTCTTTGTCTACATTTTTAAATTCCTCATATGAGTGGATTCATACAGAGATTGTCCTTCTCTGCCTGGCTTATTTCACTTAATATAATTCCCTCAAGGTCCACCCATGTTGTTGCAAATGGGACAATTTTGTTCTGTTTTACAGCTGAGTAGTATTCCATTGTATATATATACCACATCTTCTTTATCCAATCATCTGTTGATGGGCACTTAGGTTGCTTCCATGTCTTGGCTATTGTAAATAATGCTGCAATAAACATTGGGGTGCATAGGACTTATGGAATCGCTGACTTCAAGCTCTTTGGGTAGATACCCAGTAGTGGGATAGCTGGGTCGTATGGTAGTTTTATTTTTAATTTTTTGAGGAATCTCCATACTGTTTTCCACAGTGGCTGCGCCAGTTTGCATTCCCACCAACAGTGTATGAGGGTTCCTTTTTCTCGACAGCCTCTCCAACATTTGTCACTCTTGGTTTTGGATATTTTTGCCATTCTAACAGGTGTAAGGTGATATCTTAGTGTAGTTTTGATTTGCATTTCCCTGATGATTAGTGATGATGAGCATCTTTTCATGTGTCTATTGGCCATCTGTATATCTTCTTTGGAGAAATGTCTGTTCATGTCCCCTGCCCATTTTGTGATTGGGTTGTTTGATTTTTTATTGTTGAGTTGTGTGAGTTCTTTATATATTATGGAGATTAACCCTTTGTTGGATAAATAACTTGTAAATATTTTTTCCCAATTAGTGAGCTTTTTTTTTGTTTCAATCCTGTTTTCCCTTGCCTTGAAGAAGCTCTTTAGTCTGATAAAGTCCCATTTGTTTATTCTTTCTATTGTTTCCCTCATGTGAGGGGTTGTGGTGTCCAAAAAGATTCTTTTGAAGCTGATGTCAAAGAGTGTACTGCCGATATTCTCTTCTAGAAGACTTGTTGTTTCAGGCCTAATCTTTAGGTCTTTGATCCATTTTGAGTTTATTTTAGTAAATGGTGAAAAAGAATGGTTGATTTTCATTCTTTTACATGTGGCTGTCCAGTTTTCCCAGCACTATTTGTTGAAGAGACTTTCTTTCCTCCATTGTAGGCCCTCAGCTCCTTTGTCAAAGATTAGTTGTCCATAGATGTGTGGTTTTATTTCTGGGCTTTCAATTCTGTTCCATTAATCTGTGCATCTGTTTTTGTACCAGTACCGTGCTGTTTTGATCACTGTAGCTTTGTAGTATGTTTTGAAGTCAGGGATTGTGATTTCTCCAGCTTTGTTCTTCTTTCTCAGGATTGCTTTAGCAATTCAGGGTCTTTTGTTGCCCCATATGAATTTTAGGATTCTTTGTTCAATTTCTGTAAAGAATGTCATTGGGATTCTGATTGGGATAGCATTGAATCTGTAGATTGCTTTAGGTAGTATGGACATTTTAACTATGTTTATTCTTCCAATCCATGTGCATGGAATGTCTTTCCATCTCTTTATGTTGTCATCAATTTTTTCAAGAAAGTCTTGTAGTTTTCGTTGTATAGGTCTTTCACTTCCTTGGTTAAATTTATCCCAAGGTATTTTATTCTTTTTGTTGCGATCGTGAATGGGATTGAGTTCTTGAAATCTTTTTCTGTTAGTTCATTGTTAGCGTATAGAAATGCTACTGATTTATGTATGTTGATTTTATACCCTGCAACTTTGCTGTAGCTGTTGATTGTTTCTAATAGTTTTTCTATGGATTCTTTGGGGTTTTCTATATATAAGATCATGTCGTCTGCAAACAGCGAGAGTTTTACTTCTTCGTTGCCTATGTGGATTTCTTTTATTTCTTTTTCCTGCCGAATTGCTCTGGCCAACACCTCCAGTACTATGTTGAATAAGAGTGGCGAAAGTGGGCACCCTTGTCTTGTTCCTGTTCTGAGAGGGATGGGTTTCAGTTTTTGTCTGTTGAGTATGAAGTTGGCTGTGGGTTTGTCATATATGGCCTTTATTATGTTGAGGTGCTTTCCTTCTATACCTATTTTATTGAGGGTTTTTATAGTAAATGGATGTTGGATCTTGTCGAATGCTTTCTCTGCATCTATTGAGATGATCATGTGGTTTTTGTTTCTCATTTTGTTGATGTAGTGAATCACGTTGATTGACTTGCAGATGTTGAACCATCCCTGTGTCCCTGGTATAAATCCCACTTGATCATGATGTATGATCCTTTTGATGAATTGCTGAATTCTGGTTGCCAAAAGTTTGTTAAGAATTTTTGCATCTATGTTCATCAGCGATATTGGCCTGTAGTTCTCTTTTTTTGTGGTGTCCTTGTCAGGCTTTGGTATCAGCGTGATGTTGGCCTCGTAGAATGTGTTAGGAAGTGTTCCATCCTCCCTAATTTTTTGGAATAGCTTGAAAAGGATAGGTATTAAATCTTCTCTGAAAGTTTGGTAGAATTCCCCAGGAAAGCCATCTGGTCCTGGGGTTTTATTCTTTGGGATGTCTTTGATGGCTGTTTCAATCTCTTTCCTTGTGATTGGTCTGTTCAAATTGTTTGCTTCTTCTTGAGTGAGCTTTGGGAGATTGTAGGAGTCCAAGAATTTATCCATTTCCTCTAGGTTATACATTTTGTTGGCATATAATTTTTCGTAGTATTCTCTTATAATCCGTTTTATTTCTGCGGAGTCTGTTGTTATTTCTCCTCTTTCATTAACTTAGAAAATAACTCAGCTGGATACTTTATGAAATTTGAAAACATATATTGGTGAAAAATCTAGAACTTAATTCTAAATTTACCTATCAGGAGATTTTTATCCCTAAATAATGAATTGTTTCTATGACTTTGAACATTTATATTTTTATTATGTTTAGTCAATAACAAATTCACCTTAATTCTGAAAAGAAAATAATGATTGCTTTGAAGTTTTTTAAAAAAATACCTTTATTTTTATAAGAATTCCTTAGGTAGATAAAGCATCTGTCCATTTCAGGACTAGAGAAAATAAGTAAAAAGTCAGATAGCTTGCCTAGTGCTATCGGGATAGTCCGTTTTCCCTTTCTGATATCTTACCTGGGAATAGACAGGTAATAGAATAGACAAAATACTCATGATCCACTTACACTGTACTAATTTGGTGCTAACAATAAAACTTCACAGTGGGAAGAACTTGAAAAGATTTTACAAACTGACCCTTTACTCACACTGTTATTTTTCAGCTGGTGATATTATATATAATTCTATCAGTAGTATTGCCTTTATTTCATTGGTTTTTCATCATTGCTATAATTTGAGAGCACTATTAATGATAGGATATATATATATATATATATATATATATATATATATATGTCAAAAAACTTCTTGCACATTTAAGTTTCTCCTTTCTTTTCAGGTATGACAGCAGTTATCTGCACTTACCCTCTTGACATGGTTAGAGTACGCCTAGCATTCCAGGTGAAAGGGGAACACACTTATACGGGAATTATCCATGCGTTCAAAACAATTTATGCAAAGGTATTTCATATTTACTGTTCTCATCTAACATGTCCTTTTATATTTAGGCAAATATTTTGAATATTATCTAAATAATTATTCTTTTATTTAAATTATTGATAATAATAATAATGAAAATATATCTGTGTTTCAGGGTGGGTCCCAGAATAATTTTTCCATTATAATGTATGTTTTTGTTCTTTGATATTTATCATAATGAGCACCATGCAGTCTCACTTCTAACTTTTCTTCACTCAAAAGGAAGGCGGTTTCCTTGGATTCTACAGAGGCCTGATGCCTACTATATTAGGAATGGCTCCATATGCAGGTATGTTTCAAATGTGGCAGAACCTGACTTTTTTATTTTCGTCTAAGAATCAGTTTTCAAGTTTAGCATTTTACAATTAGCCCCTAATCCGTCTAGAATTACTTTTTTCCTCCTCAAGGACAACCGTTTGACCCAGAGCCACTTATGAAGCAGTCCTGACTTTCCCGGTGGTCTGCAGTGCTGCTTCTTAGAAAGCAGTGGAGTGTAGTTTTACAGTAAGTCCTTATATTTGGTAGGACAAGTCCCTGGACTTTATGCTTCTTTTTTTCAAGAATGTAAGGTCTATAGATATTTTGCTATCCCATGTACATTTTAGAATCAGCTTTTGATATTGTACAAAAATCTTTTTTGGGATTTTGAATGAAATTTCATACAGTTCTTGGACATGTTTGTTAGATATATTCATGTACACCTTATAAACTTTGCTGTGTCTTTTAGAAAATTAGATTTTCAGTTTATTGCTTGATTCAATTTTTATATGATCTTACAGTTAACTGTTATCCTACTTGTTGATTTTATAGCCAGCTATCGTGTTACTTATAGATGCTTTGGGTTTTCTGTGTAGGCAGTCACATCCTGTGCAAATAATATCATTTTTCTTACTTCCATTCTAATCCTTATTTCTTCATTTATTTGTGTTTATCTTGTCTTACTGTACTAGCTAAGGACCTCCATTGCA